GGATTTGAACATATTAAGGAGATATATGCTAATGATAATGATTTTTTTAACTGTTTATCATGCATGTGAGCGTTCTGCATTCCAGAAATTTTATAGGCATGATGGTTTCCTCTTTAGGGATGGGAAGTTATGTGTGCCAAACTATTCACTTAGGAAATTACTGGTTCGTGAAACTCATAGTGGGGGATTGATGTGGCACTTTAGGGTAGTTAAAACTCTACACATATTATATGAGCATTTTTCTTAACCTAACATGAGAAAAGATGTTGAACACATATATAGTAAGCACATTGCATGTTAGCAGACTAAATTTAAGGTTTTACCTCATAGATTATACACACTTTTACCTGTGTCTACATCAATCTAGATAGACATATAAATGAATTTTGTATTAAGATTACCTAAGATCAAGAGAGGTAGTGATAACATATTTGTCGTCGTGGATAGATTTAATAAGATGACACACTTTATTGTATGCTATAAGATTGATGATGCGATAAATATCACAAATTTATTTTTTAGGAATGCAGTGAGACTCCATGGTATTCTTAAAACAATTGTGAGTGATAGGGATGTGAAATTTCTTAGTCATTTTTGGAGAGTTCTGTGGGGTAAATTAGAAACAAAGTTGTTATTCTCTACTACATATCACCCCCAGACTAATGGTTAGACTAATGTCATTAATAGGACCTTAAGATCCTTGTTGAGAGCTGTAGTTGGCTGAAATTTAAAAACATGGGAGGGTTGTTTACCTATGGTAGAATTTGTATATAATAGGAGCATTCATACGTGTACAGGCTTTTCACATTTTGAGATTTTTTATGATTTTAATCATTTAACCCCATTAGACCTCATACCTTTATCTTTGCAGGAACTTTAGGATACCGATGCTTAAAGGAGAGTAGAACTTGTTAAAGCCCTACACAAGAAGGCCAGACAGTATATCTAGAAGAAGAATGAATCCTGCTCACAACATGCCAATAAAGAAAGGAAACAAGTAGTTTTCCAACCCGACGATTGGGTATGGGTCCATATGTGAAAAGAAAGATTTCTCAATCAATAAAAATCTAAGTTGGACCCTTAAGAAAACGAACATTTTCAAGTCCTATAGTGTATCAATGATAATGCCTACAAAATTGATCTCCCAAGTGAGTATGGTGTATCTTTTATGTTTAATATTTATGACATTTCCCTTTTTTATGCAGGTCTAGATTTAAGGACAAATTTTTTTAAAGAGGGAGGGAATGATGTGAGCATGGACATGAATTAAGTTGATGGAAAAGATATCTCAATGCCAAGTGAGCCCATTACAAGGAGGAGAGCTAAAAGATTACATCAGACTTTTCAACTCTTTATCCAAACATGGATTAATGAGGAAGATGAGCTTGGACCCACTAAAAAAACCCAAGGAAAGAAGATAATAAGGCCATTAACTCAAGGGTATAATGATATATACTATTCACTCCAAGTGTAAGAAAAAATAAACAAGAAAATAGAAAAATTCTCCAGGATGTGTAAAAGAAAATTTGCCATGGGATTTTGTTTCCTAATCGTATGGGAAACTTCATAATTAAAAATCAACCAAAATGAGAAATTACTCCTAAATTACGAGCTATCTTGAGAAAGAGAAAAAAATCATTAAACATCAAATCCTGCAGAAAAGGAAAACACTTGAGAAAGAGAAAAATATCTTGACAGAATTT